GAAGATAGAAGAGTTTGTTGAATCTGACGTGACATGTTCGTACGAACCCTTTGTACGAACAAAAGTAAGAGAAATTTAGGATACGAATACGAACATGTTCTTGCATGAGGCCCACTCTGTCTTACAGTGGATTCAATTTTAGTTTCTGTCCATGTTTTTTCACCTCAAACAAAAAGGCTCACAACTGGCAGATCGGTACCTTCTTGCACATGCTGATCTGCATGTGGGCGTAGTTGATGAGTGCTTCTTGTAGATCTTTGTCCTTTTGTTCTTTAAAGTGCAGGACATCTGCCCATGCCCGTTCAACATACTCTCTGTAGTAACACATGTGGAGCASAGCCTCATCATCAGTGAAAACAAAACCGTTTACAGCTGCTTTCATCAGCAACTCACTCGCACTCAGCTGTTTTGTCTTTCACAGCTTCTTCTCCTTCTGCTATCAGCTCCTCCAACAGGTTCAACCTGGCCTCTCTCTGCTCTGGTGCCTCTTGTCCAAAGATTTTATTGGTCATGCCTTTGAAGGAGAATGTGCGCACTATCTGAGAAAGAAAAGAGAACAACCTATGACACGAGAAATTACAGACTAATACATTTTCTGCAAGACCAGGAGCCTCATGTATCAAAGAGTGTGCAGCTATCTTACTGAAAGTCACCAAAATAATCAAATTTATCAAGCTAATTTTATCAACAAAAATTGATGTCTGGATGCAAGAAAACAATGATTTTAATGGAATGTGAGTCAGATGTTTCTAAATAAGGTAGTTGTGTGTAAAAATGTATTTAGTGCACTGTCACTGAGTGTGAAATCTGAGAATGCTGAAAAGATGGACCAGTTCACACTGTAGCCCATCTAGCAATAAATGTCTTTGGCAATATTTGACACTTGTCCCTATTTAAATAAAAACTAAACGAAATGAAACGAGATGCTGTAGTGTATACTGCACATGGTGAGATGAATTTATGAATATTTTTACTATATTACCCCTGTAGCCAGCTCCTCACGTTGCTGCTTCTTTGAGACAAGATCCTGGGAGGTCACCTCAAGCTCAAATTGGCTCAGCTCATGTTTCCTGCACACTGCTCTGAAAAGGTAGCAGGTACAGATAAGAGCATTTCTCTCTGTTTGCTCTAATATGAAGACCTTAGACATACAGATCAACTAAAGCAGTAATTATATGATACTGTGACCAAACACTGAATAATATTCTATAGGGTGTGATTAGACTCACAAGATGAGGCAAGATTTAAAAACTACTTTAAAGCAGAGATTCTTAACCTATGGGCCGCGGCCAAATTATGGGCTGYGAGCGCCACCTTGAGGGCCTTAAAAGAACAACAGTTTTTAACTTTGGGCCGTGGGACTGCATTGATTTTGAATAAGGCGCAATACACGTTCTCACCACTAGTGGCGTCTCAGTTGTTTAACAACTTTTTTAATATGTAGAAGAAGAACCTTAGAAACCTGCCGAGAATGGAAACCTATTTTAAAT